ATTACATTGTAGTAGGAATATTAGTCTATATCACCCTCATACAATTTATATTATAGACAAACAAATAGTTTGTCTTTCCGTATCTCTGTCTGTCTGTCTGTCTGACTGTCTATCTTTTCCTTTTTCCTTTTTCTTTTTTCCTTTTTTTTTTTTATTTGCTGGTTTGTTTTCATAGCAATGGCATATTTATCGTTGCTTTGCAATTTATTATATCATTCGATGGCCAAGTTTTACTCTGTACTGTACAGATTTTTACCTTACTGTACTCATACTGTGGACATTATTGATTGCATAGATTAGCGATAAGAGAAAATGCATTCAAGTGCATAAATTCAGTTAGTTAAATGGTTTTGAGTTAATCGTAATATGTCATTCTTTCATTAAATTCATTAAATTCATTAAATTCATTATTTTGTCTTTTTAATAAATTATTATATTATTTTCAAAATTTATGGAGTCACCAATGCAGTTGGGTTGGGGGTTGTGCAGAGCTGCGAGTTGACATGACCACATTAAGCAATTACATTCCTTTAAATATTTAATGTGAAACTCTACTCGAATTCAATTAGACGAGTATTCTCTGCTAATAGCAAACGCTTCATGAAGAAGGTTGGGTAGAAGGTCTATCGATTTGAAGCTATTTCTATACCGATGGTCGAGGGTGGATACGTTTAAGTACAGCGTAAGCATATGGAGGGAGTATATTTGGTATAATAACACTTATATTGGTTTATATGACATCTAGCTCACTTGCAGTCCACAAACGATGTGCAATTGATTATTTATGTAACTGTTATTGACATTTTACGCTGTCAAGACAATGCAAATAGTATCACATGGCTGGACAGACATAAGAGCTCTAAACGCACGAGAATGTCTTGAGAAAATTGTGTGGGGAAATGATAAATAAATCAATTTTTAGCAGATACGGTTTAAACACAAAATAAAATGTATTAATTATTTTGAAAAATATTTTAAATTTAAGATTCCCTTTTTTATTTATCACTATATTCGGTATATATTTTTTACATTTTCAGCAAGATTTGGTAAAATTTTTTAGATTTATAAAGTAAGGTCCACTGTTTCTCAGCTTTGACTTTAAATAACTCTTTATACCTCTTAATTCTTTTTTAGTTTTATTTAAAAATTTAAAACTTTTTACTTCTACAACATTATTTGGTTTTATTATATAACAAAGAACAAACCCTTTTTAAAACCATCTACGCTTAATCGCATTAAGTATACTTTTATATTTCTAATCCAATAAATTAGCCGTTTTTAAATTAAAATCAATTTTACTAGTTTTAATAAACTAGTATTGCTATTATAAAGCTTAAAAAATCTAACAGCGCGATCTTAAAGGTTATTGTGTCCCCATCATCTATTCAGAATATTTGCCTGTTTTAAAAGGGTTTGAAACTATGTCATCACGTCACTGCAACCCTTGAGGTTTATTGTGACAATAATCCTCTTTTTCTACGTTATATTAGGAATTCTTCTGATTAAGGTAAAAGCGAATTTGCCGAAATACGTATAGAAATATACTAATAATAACCGAAATAATCGAAATAGAAGTTAAAATTCCGGAAAGTGAAGTTACTTTACCGTGTCTTATTTCTTTATCTAATACAAAATACCACAAATATTGAATGAGAAGAAATCGTTAACTACATTAACTTTTCTTTCAGTCTCTTTCTTTATTTTTCTTTGTCTTTATTCTGTTTCTTTTTCTCATCCGATATAAGACACCACATATAGTTTATAAAAAGAAATTGTTGTCTTCATTATAGTTTTTTTCTACATTTGATATACGATAATAAAGTTTACACTAGACACAAAAAATTTATGAGCAGTTGTTATATATATTACCTTCCCATATAGTTTAAAGTTCGATATAAGAAGCCACAAATAATTTATGAGATAAAATTGTTATCTAAATTATTTTCTCCTTCAATCTACTTTTTATCTGTTGTATCTAGTTTATCTAGTTTTTTTTCTGATGTAAAAGAAACTACAAATAGTACATGAGAAGAAATTGTTATATATATTTATATCCTTCAAAGGTATTAATTTATATCTATTATAAGAAGCCATAAACAGCTTTTGAGATAAAATAGTTATCTAATTGTCCCTTTCGTTCTGTACTCTTTCAGTTTGATTTGCGGATATGATTAAAATTTAAATATAATTAATATTTCTCACAATTTTTACTTCATTTTGAGTTTTAAATTATATATATATGCTTACCTTTACCTACAACACCTTGTATCCAAATACTAAGACCAGACTTCTCAAATAAGACTTACTTACCATAAACTTCAATGTTTTAAATAAATTCTTCATATAAATTCCTACTTCCTAATATTTTTATTAAAGAATTTTCTAAAGAAACTATATACTATTTGTACTTAATGTATGTGTTCTCTCTCCTTTGCAGCTTACGATACGTGTCACTGATGTCAACGATAATGCACCAAAATTTGAATTACCCGACTATCAGGCACATAACGTAGACGAAGATATACCATTGGGTACTAGTATTTTGCGTGTTAAGGCAATGGACTCTGATTCTGGTGCCAATGCTGAAATTGAATACTTGGTATCGGATGATCACTTCGCTGTTGACGCGAATGGCATTATAGTCAATAATAAGCAACTCGATGCAGATAACAATAATGCCTATTATGAATTTATAGTGACAGCAAAAGATAAAGGCGAACCATCCAAATCCGGCACAGCTACCGTACGTGTCTATACCAAGAATAAAAACGATGAAGAACCAAAATTCTCACAACAAGTCTACACACCAAATGTAGATGAAAATGCCGGTCCAAATACATTGGTGACAACTGTTGTGGCGTCCGATAAGGATGGTGATAATGTGCGTTTTGGTTTCGTTGGTGGTGGTACTTCGTCAGGGCAATTCGTTATCGAAGATATAACTGGTGTAATACGTTTGCATAATAAAGCGATATCTCTAGATCGTGATAAGTATGAATTAAATGTCACCGCCATGGATGATGGTTCATGTTGTGTGAATGGTGATCAAACTATACATACTTCAACAGCTGTTGTTGTTGTATTTATAACGGATGTTAACGATAATAAACCTGTTTTCAAAGATTGTGGTACTTATTATCCAAAAGTGGAAGAAGGTGCACCAAATGGAAGTCCTGTTATTAAAGTCGTAGCCACTGACGAGGACAAGGGTGTTAATGGGCAGGTGAGTTTAACAAAGAGTTCGTTTATTTTAAAATTTATTTTTCATGTCTATGTATTTTAAATATTTTTTTTTTATTTTTTCTGACAACTTTTACATTTCTTTGGGTATATGTAATAGAAAATAGAGTTTCTACCATTTTTTATGTATTTTATTTTGAACTCTATGTATAACCTTAACCTCAATTAGTGCTTCGCTAAGTATGCATACCAAGTCTTTGTATGCGAGCGCATCCTTTTTGCCGAAAATAAAATTTTAGCTTGTAAATATGTAATTCTTATATACATTTAAATATATACATATATATATTTAATATATATATATATATATATATATATATATATATATATGTGTGTGTGTGTGCAAATGTAGATATATTTGTTCTTGCTTGTATGTTCGAGTACTACTAGAGGGCATGAAAAGTTTTTCATTGAATCCTGTTGCCTTTTTTTCTGCTGCAAAAACAAGTAAACTTTTTTTCTTGTACAAAAAACTAATTAATTTTTATAATAATCATTAAAACTTTAACTGGAATTTACTGGGAATAAGAAGCACAAATTTTGCGAAATTAAAAAAGTAATCAATTTAAAGTAGTTTAAATTGCGTTCTCAAGGCTCTTTTACTAAGCAGAAGGATTACGGAAATTAAAACAAATTAGTGGTTACGATGAGTTCATTCAGTGTTGTAAAATGTTTTATGGTATATACCTATATACCTATAATAGTAGCAGGTGGTTTTATATATGCTCGTATGTAGCGAATTGTCATAATTAAAGTCAATGCGGGTATTACTTCAAATTTAGTCGTTCCAAAATGTAGTCGCTTCATATAATTTTAAATAAGCAGTCTTTCAATGTGAATAATTACGCAAAAAGTTGTCAAATATACAGGCTTGTGGTGCGTACAATGGATCTAAGACAGTCAAGAAACTATAACTTCATCCATTTACGAAAAAGGCCATTGTTGAGTTCATCAATAACCTGGCATTTTTAGCACCGACTTGGCCTGTGAAATGCTTTTTACCAAGACGTCAAGTGAACTTACATCGAATGATGATAGACACCACTTTGGTACTAATGATCTGGTTTCAGTTGCCAACTTATCAGCTTTATAGTTTTCAACGATATTAGAGTGACATGCAACCTAGTTAAGAATAACATTGTTCGCTGGACTCATGTTGTTGTGAGATGTTTAGCACAACAAACCTAGTCGTGTTGTGGTGATCACATTAATGATTCTGAGTGTAAAACTTTGAAAATATAAACATCGGTGAATAGCAGCGATCTTGTACATCTTATTTGTGCCTTATGGCTTTAACTTAAGTTTAAATAAAATTCCGCAGTAGTACGACAGTTTGGATTTAATTCACCCCTTGTGGGTATCCGATAACTTTTCAAATCGATTTCATTCATTTTGAATCATCTGTATTAATTTGGATTGGCTCACTACTATTATACACTATAGAGTTTTGATTTGTGGAATTTATCTGTATTTATTTAAAATAGAACAGTTTTACTTTAAAACAGACTTTTGTTGAATTGTATAAAGATTTAGATCAAGCATTTGTTGCAAGCAGCTGTAGTAGGTATCTCAATGTGCATCTTCATTAGAGCATCTTCATCCGCCCATCGCATTACACGGAGAGCGGTAATGTGAACCATGTATTTCTTGAGGACACTAACCAGCTTTATAGATATATCTGGTCTAAAGTCTGGTCAAAAGTTGAAACATTCCACCTGCGTATTTTTAACAGAGTTTGGTGTCCTTATCCGTCTTCTTTTTCGTTTTCGATTGGGTTAGAAGATTTTCTGTACATATTAGTTCGCTACGCATGAATGATTGCTACTATTCAGAGAGTGCTTTGTGGAGGTTGTTCTTCTACTAGAAGTTCACATATATCTTCATATATCCACATATATATATAGATGTTTGTTACCATTCAGAGAGAGCAATGTGAAGGTTTTGTCTCTACTTGGAGTGCACATATATCTTTATATATTCATGAGAAAGGTTCCACTGCACATATCAATTCGCTATATACCGATAGTTGTTACTATTTAAAAGGTTGAGGGCAATATGGAGGCTGTGGTACTGCTGGCATTTATCCAGTTAACTCAATAAGACGTTTTACTTTGTATGCTTACTTCCTCCCTCCTTATAGATATGTATGTACATGGCTACCTATCTGAAACCTATAACCTATAGTGCATTAAATTCATGTCCAACTAAATTGTACTAACTTTTTAGATTAACTTACGAACTTTTTAGCTTGTAATCTAATAGCCAACAAACTACATGCAAACAACAGCAACAACAACAAAAACAAAAACGGAAGAAAAAACTGTTAACAAATTTTAAAACAAAAGTTGCCTCAAAAATAAAAAAAAATCCTTAATGAAAAATGCTTGCAAATTAATTGAAGTCAATTAATTATGTTAAATGTTACTCGTACCGCTTTTGAGGAACCCATTCAAATACAAGTAGATTAACTGGAGAAATAAAGACCTTGGCTATTAAATCCACACGCCCACTGATTTGTTGCTTTCTTGTTATTGTAATTGTTGTTGTTGTGATTGTTGATGTTGTTGTTGTTGTTGTTGTTGTTGTTGTTAAAGTTGTAGTAAAATTTACATGGTGCTGAGCGTCCTTGTGTACGTCGTACTGGCTCGTAGGGGGACTACATTTTTCAGTAGTTAGAATTTTGTATGAAGGCGTTGGGCATGCATGGCCTGGAGCTTGTAAAGTAAACTTGGTCATTAAATTGCTAAATCGTAAATGCTTAGAATAGAACCCGACTAACAGGTACGGATGCGTAGGATTAGGTTGAAGTAGTAAGTCAAGTGGCTAAACTATTAATTCAGTAACGCTGAGTGTTGAGTGTTGAGCGTTTGCGATTTACTTTTATATAAAAAAACACAGCAAATAATACAAACACTTAATTGCAGGTAATTAATTAGGGAAATAAGTTAAGACCCACAAAGTGTGATTATTTTGTTAACAATGTGTTGTTAACAATATTTTGTATGAGCTCGCATAAATTTCATCTAATAGTTGAGTGAAACCAAGAAATGATAACTACAAGTATAATGGGAGAGCTCATTAACTGGTTAGTTTCAAAATGAACGAATAATATAAAGTAATTCCTCAGTAAGGTTGGAAACTACAATTTCTTAAATTACAATAATAATAGTCTAAATTATTCGAATTTATAAACAAAAATCAAAGAAATTAAAAGAGTATGAAAATTCTTCATTCAGATATATATTTAAATTTGATACTGAAAAAAAATAGTTCGTCACAAATCTTTTTATTCAAGAAAATATATGTAACTCTTAAGATAATCAACAATTTCTTAAAGAGACTGGGTATTTATACACATCTAAGTCTATTCACATGGAATTGACATTACCGAGTACTTCACAAGAAAAGGTTCTGCCGCCTTTCTACTTCATCTTTATTTGCTTTGAGGATTTAGAAAACTTTCTATATGATCAGCAAAATGACTGAAACAGTATTCAAATAGTTTTAAATATCAAGTTTTAAGAACTTAATGAGATTTTGCAACGAATCCTACATATTTATTCATTGAACTGTACTTACTTACAGATGTGTATCATTCTTGGACGCGTCGAAACACTGGGAACATACTTATTTAAAATAGACGAATCTAGAAACACATATTACTGATTCTGTACATCGGCACCTGGATCACCAACACTTGTATAAATTGATATTAGCTGTACTTAGAATAAATCATTCTATTTCATTTTTAACCAACAAGAAGTTATAAATTAATGTCAGATATTTTACATATATTGGGAGCAGTAAATCATGGTTTCGAAGACACTAAACTTCAAATAATATATAAATTATGTATATTTAAGATGTTGCGACTAGAGTGAAAAGCAGACATTAAATCTTATATATATATTATATTTTTGGAAGAGTATTTTGCATTCCCACATAGTAGACTTATTGTGCGATCTTCATAAAGTCAAGTCCGCTATATTTGTAGTTTTGAATCTATTTAACCGAGTCCTGTTTTTTCATCCGATATGATCACCGATATGCAAGAGTGCCTGACAAGTACCCAGCTCGTGTTTTGAGGTCTCAATATCTTTCCTACAAAATCTACAAGTTCCATTAGCGTTAGTTCTCAGGTTTATAAGGTGATAATTTCATCTGCAATGTACTGTAAAAACTCCTCTTACGGTTCTTAAGTTGTTTTCATTTGACTGCTAACAGTCCTTTAATCGTTTTTGACAGAAAGTCTATAGAAGCTTTGTCTATAAAAGACGTTTGTATTAGCCATGGTAGATGTTCCCAGTACATTTTTGACTTTTTCGCTTTTTTTCGAATAAGTGAACAGAAACTATCTTCTCACATGCCATAAAATGGTTCATTGGTAACAAGCAGTGTGATTGCTACTCTTCTCGTCTTAATTTGCAATGAGTTCTGCTGAAAAATTTAACCAAAATTAAAGAGATTTTGGTATATTCTTTCTTATATCAAACCCTTTTAAGCGACCTCCCAGAAATTTTTTTTCAAGTTCTCTCACTATTTAGCAGTTTAAGCTTCTCCAAAGGTTTCAGGTAATTTTAAACCGCTAATTTTTCCATTGTTCGGTAGCACAATGGGTCAATAGATCTAAGGGGATCCGTTTGGACCGCTGGTGTAACCTGACCTAATCTAGTCTTGTTTTTAATGCGTCTTCTTACAAAAACCGTTCCAATATGAAAATATGATTAGTAGTGGGTTTCCTTGGTCTTTGCAGTTGCTTTTTTACCAGTAGATTTTAATTTGCTGTGATTAAATATTTATTTTTGTGAAGGTATATGAAGAAAATAATAAAATATGTAAACATCGTACAAAATTAATTTCAGCCATTTTAATTAGAATTTGCAACTTCACATAACTCCACAGTCTGTAAACCTTTTATTATGAGATACACAAACCGCTTTTAGCTTAGTAAAGCTTAACGAACGACTTATTGCTGCTGGTAGTTACTAGAAGACATAAACATACATCATTCAGTAGGCTTTCGTCCATGTCTCTGTCATGGCAAAGCCGCTATCTGAGTACATAATCAAGTACATTTGAGTGTGCTGTCACTTAAATAAATTTTCATTAACCCTCTAATACAGCCATATAAGCGCGAAGTCATAAATACACACACTGAATGAAGCTTCATCTATAATATTTATTAATACTCGTATATCGAAAACATTTTTTCGCAAGTATCACGGCATCTGCCTCACTCTGGCCCCAAATACTTCGATTGTTTATCTTTTTAATTAACTTTTATTAGGCACATTAAAAACTTTGAACTTTCAAATGACGTTCAATAAAGTATATAGTGTATAGTATATAAACTTTGACTTGACTTGCAGCTCAAAAAAGAAAATACATTAAAAAAGGAACAAATGTTAAAAATCATTATTAAAAAAGAAAGCAAAAAAAGTACTTAATTAACTTACAGATACATTTATTAGATACGCGCGTACTTGACTGCGTTAATAAGCACTTTATGTACTTTATAAAAATGTATCTACAGCGGTGGCCGCGGCGACGGCGATGGTGACGTCAGGCTGCGGAAAACCCAACGTAGCCAAACTCATATTTCAGTTTATTGGAATTACGTGCATAAAATTATATGACGAAAGTATCGATTTATGTTCGAATTGCATGTTGACCAACATGATTTATATATAACCGAAATAAAATTTATATCTCAAAGTGTAGGCACAATGTAGGCACATAAGCTTCATGGGAACGGGACATTGAATTTTCGTTTATAAAAAAGTTCTACTCGAAATTATGCCAACCTAAATGTTAATTTTCAGGGGCTAATTTTCACAGCCCTATTTTCACTAATTAAAATTGCATAATTATAGGCTGTGAAACCGAATGGTTTTTTCTTTTTTTAATTTTGGTTTGTCTTTTCCTAAAACGTGTTGCATAAAGGGAAAATGATTGACTGTTACTTTTAGTCAATAAAAAAAAAGTTAGAGAAAAATAAATTCCGATTTTAATAGGTGTGTATGCTTGATAGGAGTGCATGCTTGAGAAAATAGTTTAATAACTGCGAAAAAGGTGAAACTGCATCAAAAGAGACTGAAAATAATACAGAAATGCAAAATTAAACAATTACATTGCAGTTAAGACAAGAAGAAGACGGGAAAAAAATTAAAGAGAGGAAAGAGGAGCAATGAGATAAAGAAAGTAAAAAAATGAAAAAAAAAAGAAAAGTAGAAAGAGAAATAGATAAAAGTAAACAGAAAAATGGAGTGAAAAGAAGACGGAGACGAAGAAAAGTAGAGAGATAGATCCAAAAAAAAAAAGCGAGGAGGAGACAAACAAAAGTAGTTAGAAAGAAAGAGAAAGGGAAAAACAGAGAGAGAAGAGGAGAGAGAGAATGGCAGAGAAATATAACATGAGGGAGAGACACATAGAACCAGAGAAAGAGAGAGAGGGAAAGAGAAAAAGAAAGAGAGAGTGTTACTCTCTGTTTGTAAGTGTTTCCCGTACACAGAGTTAAGCGATTGCAGCGTTTTCAACCTCATAAAGGTATATTTAACTCTCCCTCGTATTTCTTCTTATTTTGTTTTTATAAGACAAATATAATTTAAAGCTGATATCTCTTTAGAGAGTTATTTCTTACGACAGTTAAGTTGCGTTATGCTGTACTTAGAATAATAAAAACATGACATGCGACGCAGAGAAACCGAGACATATATTGTACTAAGGCCCTCGTTATGTAGTGTGTCACGGGTACGTTAAAATCAAAATTGTCCTTGTTTTCAATGCAAATTAAAGGATTGAGAGTGAGAGTAAAAAAAAATAAAAATGTCGGCTTAAATTGAGAGCCGCTTAAATTGAGAGTGCAGTAATAGTAAAAATACGAATTTGACAAAATGATATGACACTCTACATAACAGGCATTCTTGACAAAGCCCAAAAGCGCTAATTTTGACGTGCCCGTGACACTCTATTTGACATGAGCTTAAGAGCACAATAAATAAAAAAGTAAAGCCTGCATAAAATCCAATAGTCAAAACTAAACTTTCATAAAAAAACTTCAAATTTTGAAAGAAATTATTCTTGCTCTGTACTTGCAAAATCTGAGACGCCTTATCAGGAAATAATAATAATTAGTTTTGTAGTCAAGTGTTTTATTTTATTTTAGATGGCGTTAATAATTTGGTAAACAAACATTAACTAACAAGTGAAAAATTTGATCAGTTGTAAAGTTTCACAAATATATACACTATTTTTGATTCCATTTTTTGTGGTATCTTGAGACTAGAATATCAACTCCAGTACCCATAAACGCAGCTAAGATTTAAGACTGTTCACGCTTGACAACTTCCTATAAAAAAGAATTAATTTATTTGAAATTAACACACAAATATAAATAGATATATAAATTTATATATATTATATTGCAGAAATTACCTGCAACATAGTTGCGATTTCAATAGCCTTATTATTAAGCTCATCCAAGACCTCCTGCAACAACTCAGCAGTAGTGATAGGTGGAAAAGTATCAAAACGCAAAGACGATTCATTAGCAAAATTGAAAACATCACGTGAGAAATCAAAAACCGAATAGGAAACGCAAGGATACTTTAACAGTAACCTATATACAAATATATGAATAAATATTTGCTAATAAACTTGTAATCGGTATACAAGTGTACTTACGCAGCCAATTCCAAACCAACGGTGTATTCGTTGCTCTTGAACACCAGGGTAGCACTATATAATCCATTGCTTTCTACACGGCTAATGCTAATTTACAAATTTTGAATCGTTTCATTTATTTTATAATTAATTATACGACTTTATTTCATTTATTAATACTTACGAACTACCCTCGGTTGTAGTTGTTGGTGCGATGGTGGCCATAATTTAAAATAAGTTCTTTCTTTCCCTTTCTTTTCAAAAAGTCACAAGTTAATGTTTTGTATTAGCAGAACAGAAAAGTTTCAACTAATTTTGGAAAAAACTTTAAAAAATTATAAAACGTCAAGTCACAAATTCAAATAGCACAATGTTGCCAGATCTAATCCACTTACCGTAAAACGCCAGTTTTAATATACATATATAAAAATGTCAAAATAATCATAGGTTAATATAAGGTTTTTTTTTTAACACATTTTTCGGTACATACTTTTTGATTTTAGTAAGTAATTAATTTTATTTCATTTTATTTTCAATACATATAAGAAATATCAAAATATATAGATATATATATATATAGAAGCCTATAGGAAAGCTAGCCGGAAGCGTAATTCTTGGCAGATTAAATGCTGTAGAGGCATCACGCAATATACTCCCAGACGAGCAATTTGGCTATAGGAATGACCTGTTCACGGAGCCTCAACTGGCTAGAACGGCCCAAATGATCCAAACAGCCCTTAGTAGAAGACAGTCGTCCGGAATGGTCATTTTTGATATTTTGAAAGCTTTTTACAAGGTCTGACATGATGGCCTGATAGTAAAAATGTCTCATCTAGGTGTTCCAGGCAGACTAACTAAAATTATCGACAGCTTCCTATGTGGGAGGTCCTTTCGCACGAAAATCAACAGCGCTTTCTCATCAGTCCAATCTATAAAAGCAGGGGTTCCTCAGGGATCGCAACTTTCCCCAACTCTACAACATTTATATATCTGGTAAATGTGCTCTAAACATAATCAACACACTTCAAGATCATATAAACCTCATCCTGGAGTATTTTGGAAAGTAATAATCAATAATGAAAAAACTATGGCTCTGTTTATTACGCGTAAGTGGAGAAAGAAACCGTAGTGAGTGAATGTGGAAGACTTGATAATAAATTGGAAAAATAACGTTAAATATCTCGGCATCACGTTGGACAAACGATTCATATGGCTTAAATATATTCAACTGAAAAGAATTAGATGTGCCAAAATTCTTTATCACACCCAACCGCTATTCAGAAATGAAAACCTTAATGCTAAGAACAGGAAGATGATATATAACCAAATAATTCGACCGTCACTTCTATATGGTTGTGTAGCGTTTAGCAAAGCTTCAAATACTGCTATTCGCCAGCTAGAAATTGCCATGGTACACAATGACGAATGCCATCCTCAGGCACCTCAAGATTGATCCGATCAAAAAATATATAAAAGATGGAGCCCTAAAATTATTTGCGGAAACTGAGAGAGTTACCAGCACCGCGTTATCGAATCTCAGATTAGTTACAGGCTCCTCGGGAAGGTATACAGATCTGGGGTCAACTATTGCTTAGTCTGCTGAAGCGATATTTAGATATATGTGTCAATATCTAATAAGCAAAAAGTTCTAAAGATAATGTTAGGTAAATCAGTTTGTTTAAAACTCTGAAACTTAATGAAAAACAACAAACAGATTTGTTTTGTTTCACACCTTTAATTTAAGAATATATTGTCATTTTGTCTTAATAACTTAATATTAAAATTGTGTAACATAAAAATTTTAATAGTAAAAAATAATTTTTTCTCCGTATGACAAGGTCTAAAGTTAGATTGGCAATCGAGCCCCAGTTCGAAGAGTTGCCAGCAGTTTTGCATTTAAACATTTTTAAAATGGACTCTTGTGTATAATTTTCTGTAAAAAAAAGCATGCTTAAGATTGCAAATATTTAGGAAGATTTATATAAAATGATTGAATATACTTATGAAGTTACGTTTGTTACCTGTATGAGAATGCAAACATCAGTAGATTTATCAATAGTATCAGCCAAGAGAGTCTTGAGTACAGTTGCTGTAGTCATTGGCGGAAAAGTATCAAAACGTAAAATACACTCATTGCTCAGGGTGTAGATGTCACGTGAAAAATCAAAGATAGCATATGACACCAGAGGATATTTTAGCAGCAAACTGTTAGCGACGATATTTAATTTAATATAAAAAATATACTTGTATAAAAAACAATTAAAATATATTTGGTTTCTTCGACTTACTTGACCAATTGAATACCCACTGAATAATCAACTGTACGAAAGGATATTAGAATACTTGAGGGGCCATTTTTCTCTACACGGACTTCACTAAATTAAAAAAAATTTTTATAAATATATTTAAGAAGTTTGAATTTCTCCGATACTGACGACATATCTGCATGTGCTGACAAACGAACGTTGTTCATATCAAGATGTTACTTTTGTATAGCAAAATAGATGTTTGTACTAATTTTGTTGGAATTTTGAAGTGAACAGTACGAGAAAACTATATATTTATTTCTAAGGTTAAAATTGACATATATGTTTTCAACTTTTAATGTTGCCACATTAAATAATTCTAATTTCATAAGCATACTTTTTTTAATTATATATTGGTCCACGTTTACACTTGGACTCGTTGAACCTCTTAAGCATATTCTTATATGGATTTTATATGGGTTTGATATACCATATAGCATATTTTGTGCATGTTTCATTTAACTAAAGTAAATTTTATCAAATTTTCTACAATAATTAACACTAACTACATATCAGCTGAATGCATTTTATAGCAATATATATATTAAACTCCATCAATATTGTGAATGTATATATTATATACTTGGAGAGTGTAGTGTTACTGTAGGATAAATAACATCTTGCTCCTCCGGTAATAATTTGTTGTGATGCATTTACAACACTTTCTTTCGTTTTAGTTGCATATTTTTATGCACATTTAAATTAATTTTTTTTAATTATGTATATAATTTATAATTTTATATACTCTTTTCCTTTTTAATTTTTCTAATTATTTACAAAAATCTCAACCAATATCTTATAACAAGAAGAGCAGCCTCTTTATATGTTAATTTATTTTGCTATTTTAACATAGCAAATATGAGTTGAACTGTTTTCTACCGAATGGTTCAAGCCTAAAAGTTGATTAATTTTTCACTCGTTGCTAGAGTTTTGATTTTGTTTTATTCTTCTTCTATGTTTTTAGTACTGCTTTGTAACAGTACTAAATAAAGCAAGCAATAACCGCGTGCATAAGAGCAGTGAAGGGGCTTACTTTGCAATAGGTATTGCAATAGTAATACAAAAAATGTTGAAAAAGTGCAAATGGTAAAATGTTAGTAAATGACACACACAAGTCATTTTGTATATTAAAATCGGTTTATATATTATTTTTGGGATTGACATGCTTCACCGCTTTTGTAGTAGGTCCAACAGGTGATTTAGACGAATATGAAAAATATTTTCTTCATTCTCTTTGTATACTGCTGCGATGTTTATAACATACATCAGTACCGAAACAGTGATTCGGTAAATATCTCATTTAAAAATTCGCAGCTGCTGTAATTTAGGATATTATTAAGATTAATATTGTTAGTTATGGACAGCATCTAAGATGACATATTACTATTCCAAAAATGAGCGCGATCTGTCAGACAGTTCGTTTACGGCAGCTGTTGAAACCAGTTCACCTCAGTAGTGCGTTGCGAAAAAAACAATGGAAAAAAATATTGGACAAAGAGTTTGCATCAAATTTTGTGTTTCGAACGAAATTTCGTGTGCAGAATCGTTGCGAATGCTACAAAAGGCTTATGGGGAATCAGTTTTATCGAAAACTCAAGTTTATGAGTGGTACAAAGCCTTTCAGGACGGTCGTACGACCGTCGAAGACATTTCGCAACGCACTACTGAGGGGAACTGGTTTCAACAGCTGCCGTAAACGAACTGTCTGACAGATCGCGCTCATTTTTGGCATAGTAATTAAGGACAGTGCTGCCAAACTACATAAACTTAAAATATCGAAAAATATACAGCGCGCGAATTTTAAATGAGAATTTCCGAAAACTTTTCAGTCTTAATGTACATACAATCTAAGAAAGTTCGTACACATAAGTTTTCACACGCCTAAATTTATCTAGTGTGACAAAAGTAATACTTAACAATTAATCAATCTAATATATTTAAAGTCAACGTCTGTATTATCAGATTTGCGTATGTGGATGCAAGTGGTTTTGTAGTAACCTCATCACCGCAATTAAAACTAGAATGTGTTTTAATTTCATTGTACTATTAAAATGGGAGAGATGAGAGCAGCTTGCAATATAGTTTTAGTTGATGTGTAAGCTATCATTAAATATATTTCACATGCTTATGAATTTTGGAAGTCTTGTCAATCTATTGTCTATTGCTAATATAATGCAAAATGGATTTCTATATATTTTATTAAATGACTGAAATAATATATATATAATGTTTCACTCTTTATAATCTACTACAAGCAAACACATTTTATTGAAAATAGCCTACCTAGTATCCATTAGTGCTTCAAAGTATCATCCAGAGTGCCGTTGGGACAAATATTATCATAAATATTTTTGATTTATGAGAATATATTAAACTTAGAGCGCTGAAACTTATCGATTCTATGAATGCGCACACTGATTCAGAATTGCACTCTCTCAAATCAAATGCAATATATATTCCCTCAGAGAGCTGTACTGGGTTTTGTAGTAAACTTCTATAAAAACATCTGAATAACTTATTGTCAGGCATTAACGGAGCTTTTGTTATAGTGAATCATCCAAGTGATCACTGAGACTATTGAGTCAGGTGTTTTAGGCACTAACTTGTGTTTCATCAAGTAGAAATAGAAGAAGGGAGTTTTATTATACCCAAATATCAAAATGTTGGCGCATAAACATGTTTTAACATCAATATACTCTGACAGGAATGTACTCCATCATGAAAATGCTTGAACCCATATAACCTAGAAATTCAAAATGTGCAAAGTTTCAAATCATTTGAATATTATTACAAGCTCTAATTTGTACGTTTGCTTTGATTTTAATTTTTGTTGACGTTACTTATCAATTTCATTAAATGTTTCAAACTAAATTTAATTTAATTTAAACAAATTTATAAGCCAAAAAATTTTATCACATTCCGCTACATATCCATTACATTTGCAGGTCAAATACTCCATTGTGCAGCAACCCAATCAAAAGGGTACCAAATTTACGGTTGATGAAGAAACTGGTGAGGTGTCCACTAACAAAGTATTCGATCGTGAAGGTGATGATGGCAAATTTGTCTCGGTCACCGTCAAAGCAACCGATCAAGGTGAGCCCAGCTTGGAAGGTGTTTGCTCTTTCACTGTTGAAATAACTGATGTCAATGATAACCCTCCATTGTTTGATCGACAAGTAAGTATAAGAATATTGAGTTCATGTCAGGAATGGTTGTATTTTTACCGCCCCCTTTTTTTCACAGAAATATGTTGAAAATGTTAAGCAGGATGCCAGCATTGGTACAAACATCTTACGTGTATCTGCCTCCGATGAAGATGCTGATAATAATGGCGCTATTGTTTATAGTTTGAGTGCACCATTCAATCCCAATGATTTGGAATATTTCGATATACAAGCTGAATCCGGTTGGATTGTGTTGAAGAAGCCACTTGACGTAAGTGTTCGCTAGCTAAAACTTTCTAATTCATATTTAATTATATGCCCGCTTTTCAGTTTAAAATTTATTTCTAATTTCATTTTTTTTTTATATACAGTTTTTATTTTGAATTCTTAATAAAATTTTTTTAAAACTTATACTAACCAATGAGCTATATGATGGGCTAAAAGTTTTTATTTAATTTTTTAGTTGAAATTACTAACCCCAAGAAAAATTAAATTAAGAATTAATAGACGAGATTAGTTTGTAGGCTAAGGTTAGTTAGGCTAGCTGAAATATTAATGCAAACTGTGCAAATGAGACACGTTGCCAAGTAAGAGGTTAATGTTTTAGTAACATATATGAAATATATACATATAAACCATATATATATATAACAAATGCATTTAATGTATACTTAAGTGGTTTGGAATAAAAAAAAATCAACTATTTTGCTAACACATGAGGTATGTAGTTAGGCAAAATTTGTTATCAAAAAAATTAATTTAATTAATTTTATTATTTTTCGTTAAACAGTTTTTATATTTTATTTTGTTAATAAATGTCTACTATTTTTTGTATAAATATAAAGAAAAAATTTTTTAGTTTAAGTTTGAGTTTCATAGTCTTTCAGTTTTTTTGTGCACCTTTTTCAGTTAAAATTAAATTTAACGTAGCTATAAATTTATATAATAGTTTATTTACGCAAAATTTTAAAAATGTGTAAAATATATATAATTTTAAAAATAT